ACGGTTTTCAGGAAACTATTCCAGTTGATTTTTGGTCCCCCCACAAGGTGTACATTAACATAAAACTCTGTAGAATCGCCTCTGGGACCTGAATTCCCACTCTGATTTCATTATTCCAAAGTGATTCTTTTCCCTTCACTTAGTCATCTCCTGGTGTGGTGGGAGCATATAATAAGTGTAATTTATTTATATTTATCTAATCTCCTTTTAACTCAATAGTTATTTCATCATTCTGTTTCCTAGTAGCTCTTCAGAAAGTTGTAAAGGCTAATTAGAAACTAATAATTGGCATACATGGATTTACTGGATAATCTAAAGAGAAGTAGTAAAGAAATTGAGACAGAGAAAGAGCAATTCAAATTCTACACTAAAATGCTATACTGTAATTTAAAAATTCCTTTGATACCATCCAGTTGAATTTGATTTAAACATAACAGAAATAAATCACTTGAATGCTGTTTAGAAGCACCATAATTTTTTAATTATTTATTTGCTGGAAATAGATAACACCTGGCAAAATAAGTCATGGCTAATACATCTTAAATCTAAAGAAAGCACTGAGGTTTAATTTTGGTAGCCAGTCACTGGTGGCAAAGGAGAGTCTGATTTAAAAGTTGGGTTCCGCAGGGCTCCATCTTAGGCCCTGTGCTCTTTAACATCCTCATATATGACTTGGATGCAGGACTGGAAGGGATACTGAGCAAGTTTACAGATGATACAAAACTCAGAGGAGCTTTTGACTCCCCCAAAGGCAGAGAGACCTCAGCAAATCAGAGGACTGGGCAATCACCAACCATACGAAGTTCCACAAGGGAAAGTGCCAGATTCTGCACCTGGTATGGGGAAACCCCGGACGTACTTACAGACTGGGGAATGAGGTGCTGGAAAGCAGTGCCATAGAAAGGGACCTGAGGGTCCTGGTTGACAGCAAGTTGAATATGAGTCAGCAGTGCCCTGGCAACCAGGAGGGCCAGCTGTGTCCTGGGGGGCATCAAGCAAAGCATCACCATCCTATTGAGGGAGGGGATTGTCCTGCTCTGCTCTGCACTGAGGTGGCCTCACCTTCAATATTGTGTGCAGTTCTGGGCACCACAATATAGGAAAGATATTACGCCATTAGAGAACATCCAAAGGAGGGCAATGAAGATGGTGAAGGGCCTTGAGGGGAAGCTGTATGAGCAGCAGCTGAGGTCACTTGGTCTGTTCTCCTTGAGGAGACCTCATTGCAGTTGCAACAACTTCCTTGTGAGGGAAAGAGGAGGGAAAGGTACTGATCTCTTCTATGTGGTGACCAGTGACAGGACCCAAAGAAATGGCCTGAAATTGTGTCAGGGGAGGTTTAGGTTGGATATTAGAAAGAGATTCTTCATCCACAGGGTGTTTGGGCACTGGAACAGGCTCCCCGGGGAAGTGGTCACAGCACCAAGCCTAACAGACTTCAAGAAGTGTTTAGATTATACTCTCAGGCACATGGTGTGACTCTTGGGGATGGTCCTGTGCAGGGCTAAGAGTTGGACTTGTTGGTGCCTGTGGATCCCTTCCAACTCAGCATATTCTGTGATTCTGTAATTGAGAAGTTAAAGGTGGCTTTGAGCTACTTTTTGCCCTGTCCTGATTAAAGTGTAGTTTTGGACAATTCAAAGAGTTACTTGAGTTACAGGAACCTGCGTTTTCCTGTGGGTACAGAATCTGCACAGTGTTGTGTGCTGTACTTCCCAAGGTGTTTAAAATCATCTGAAAAGACTGCTACGCTTGGATTTTTTACCCTGGAAATTTTATTCCAGCTGACTCTGGGTGACCCTTAAATTTTGACAGCTTTTTTTAGCACATTTTGAGTGACTGGAGAAGCTGCTGAACATCTATCTTAATCAACTGCTATAAATAGCTCTTCATATTTCATCGGTTTTCACAGTTTTGTCCATCACTTTAATATGTTTTTCTTAGAAGGGGTTTTAAAGTTTCTCTTACAGTGCTAAGTGTAAAAGAGGTCAAAGGCTAAAGATTGCTCAATTGTGGGGTTTCTTTGGTGTTTGGGGTTTTTTTAATGTTTTACTTAAGATGCCAAAGAATCTCTTTACATAATCTTTCACCAGTTGTAAAAATAACCTATATCATTATGAGATAGTTAAAATATTTGCAGTGAAGGCTCCAAAGTTACATTTTCTGCAACTATGCTTCTGGCTACCACCACATTCTGTCAGGACTGATTTACTGGATAATAATAACTTCATACAAAACTTTGTCAAGTTATCAGTCACGACAACATTTTTCTGTGTGACATGTGCAGGTTCCAACCAGAAAAGAGGGAAGTCATTTGCATTTCTCTGGTCTTCTGCTGTCCTTTTTTTTTTTTTTTACTGCTCTCTTGGATGAGCACATTGTTCATGAAAGCAGTGATAAAGTACAGGCCTGGGAACCATGCAAGTTCCACTGTGAGCTGCACCAGCATCTTGTCTTCTCTGCCCTGGCCCGAGGAAGCCACAGAAAGAACTATTGCCTTTGTGTTTATCTCCTTTTTAATCTTTCCCTATCAGTTTACTCTCTGGGTTCAGCCCTTGACACCTGTTCTGTCAACTTATGTCCAAGCAGTTTTTGGTTTGCAGGGGGTTTTGTTGTTTTTTCCTCTTCTGGACTATACTGCCATAGAAAAGTGTTGGCAATTAGATGTGCATTAGGTAAAGCAGTTAGATGTGAAAGGTGTCACACCAAGCAGCAAGGGTCATTTCCTCATTTACTAACTTTAAACCTTAATTGTTCAGCAAAGCCAGTAAGATATTTTACTCCTTTGTTACTACATCACTAAGGAAGAAATTTAAGTTTATAACACACTTGTTTGGTTGCCTTTTTTTAAAACATTTCATTAGAATAACACTCCTTTCCATTTGAGTGTTGTAGATAAATTAATGTCATGGGTCATATGGGTCTCTACTTTCTTACTAAGTCTCCTTTCTTCATTCAAAGGCAGGAAAAGCCCAATGCTGTCTGCAGAAAAGGCAGGCAAGTCTTGAGTTATTCTTAGTGTCAAGAAGGATAGGGATATTTTCCAAAGTGTTATGACATTTTTCTTCCCATGGTTTTAATTAAAAATACCAGTAAATAAGTATTTTGAAAAATCTTCCTAGTTGATCTTGTGTGGTTTTGGATGCCTAAAAATCTTCACAGAATCATTTAGGTTGAAAAAGACCTCTGCGATCATCAAGTCCAACCTTTGACTGGTCACCACCGTCTCAACTAGACCATGGCACTAAGTTCCATGGCCTGTTGTCTCTTCAACACCTCCAGGGATGGTGACTCCACCACTTCCCTGGGCAGCCCGTTCCAATGCTTTAGAACCCTTTCCAATCTTGCTTTCTTCTAATGTCCAGCTTCCTATTTTTGGTTCTTGCCTTTCTTTCTACTAGGCTCACATGTTAGCTAGGGTTTTGCCACAGTTTCTAGTTCAGCATGGGAGGCTTTAAATGAAGCAAAAGCATTTTCAGAAAGCCATTAATTAAAATTGTAAGTTACCATTAAAATAGATTTAAAGTCTGAAATTTCAGTTAGCTGTGACTTGTGTAGTACCACAGACTTTTTTTCTAAGATTGTTTTGGGTTTTTTTAAATCATATCTACAGATCTTATACAGCTTTTAATGAATTTCTTTTACCTTTGTAGAAAAAGTGCTCAATATTTTTGGGAGAGGGGATCAGAAATGTACTTTATCATGTGCCTGGGACTCTCTGAAGTCAGAACTCTGACTCTGGCCTTGCAGACCTTTACCATGGGTGTAAAAATTTACCTAGCTCATCAGTTTGCATCAACATTAAGAACAGAATGTGATTCTTGACAAGTTGAAGCAAATTTTGATGAAATATTCATTAATCTGTGTAAAACCTTCAACAAACAGTATTTCCTGTATATATTTATGAAGAAACTTGAAACGAAGTAGAGCTGTTTGAACATTTAATCTAGTTTAGATATATCCACAGAATTTTAATCACTTTTGGTTCTCAGGGATGGGGCAGTGGGAATCAAAAAGCAAAGGGAAAACCAAACTTTTCCCGCTGACCAGAGTAGCCATCTCATTACTGGGTGAAAGCTGAATTTAAAATGAAAAATCCTAAAAACTAAGTTAAAGCTGATTTCTGTAAGGAAGTGTTATGTACTGATATAAAGGCACATTGCAGCACAGAAGTAAGTTCAAGTCTTCATAAAATCCTGCTTCCCATCTGTGAAATAATATTGGTAATTGCTTCATCTCAGCTACTAAGATATCACTATTGATAATGTTGTTCATATTAATTGTGATTTCTAAAAATTGTGTGAGACTTTTGGCAGTCTGGGAAGTACCAAAATCCTTTACTAAGGAGACATAAAACATTTTAAAAATAGTTATTCCAATAGTTATTCCAATCTCCCTGGGAAAAAAAAAAAAGAAATCTAAACAGATCTCAGTTTTTATATTTGCTTTTTATTTCACATTTCCTCTTGAAAATGCATTGAAGAAAGCTGCATATGAGCTGTGTAGGAAACAACAGAATAGACATGTTATTCACTCATGTAAACGTGTTGAAAATGTTCACTATTGGCTTTGGAGTTTAGTCAAATAGTTCTACTGGTTGTAAAACTCAAGAGAATGTGAAGTATATTTTCATTCTGACACAAAGGAACTAATGCATCTACCCTTCTACACAGTCAAATAAAGTGTGCCTTTTAGGTAGCTGCAGTGATCCCTGGGAAGAAACAAGGAAATAGGATCCACATGGTGCCATGTTTCTTGCTTTAAAACCTTATATAGTGAAGGTTCCTTATAGTAGTTTTGATGATATTTTAATTAAGATTTATTCCTAAAAATGCTGTTCCAATATGTTTTAGCATTGATTCAGTTCTTTTAATGAAACATGATGGAAATATGGTGGAAAAGTTATCTCCACTCAATGCCTAATACTTGTAAATTGCTTGAATAATTGCATAATAGCTTCTAATAGCTTCTCAAATTTCTTTCCCCATTCTTCCCTACAGCTGACATAAATGTGGACATATCAAAACCTTTGAAAGCAAATCTCAGTTTTGCCAGACTTGACCAAATAAACCAGTTTTTGAAGAAAATCATAACCACAAATGATGGTGAGCCCAGGAAAGAGGCTACTCCCTTAGCTGGCATTATTCCAGATGAGGATGTCACTTTGATGTCCAGACAATTCAGTACAAAGGATTTCCTACCTGCAGTGCGCACCAACACTGCACAAAAGTCTTCAGTACAAGAAAACTTGTGGCAAGCCCTTTCCTGCTTCCAGAAAATTTCCATTCACACCGTTCAAATGGTTGTTTTGATGGAAACCATCCCACATCCCAGTAAACCTTGTTTGTTAATCTCTTTGTCAAGCCTCAGTGGGAGTCTGAATATTAGAAGTGGACATAAAACTGCAGGTAAGAGTTTTTTTTAAGTTGGAAGTGCGACTGGTTTGCCCAAGTGGTGGTGCAGTAACCATTTCAAAGCGTGGGGCATTGTGGGGAACTGCTCTAGCCAATGTCATAAATCTGCAACAGAAAACAGCAAATGCCTGAGATACTCTATTACCTGAATTTTCCTTTCAGTGAGACAGCACCCAGGAGTAGCTTATTTTGTAGTGTATATCCCCTAGTTTGAAATTACTAAATTACTGATGGAATTCTGGCTGGAATGCGGTTATGAGAACCACTATTCTGGTATTCCAGTAATTTAGTATGTACTTCAAAGAGTAAAATTTTGGCAGTTTTCACTCTATAACTACATTTTCTTGTTAGGACCCTATGTTTCTGTCTGAAACAAATGTAAAAATTATTGTTCAGAACCCTTACATGTGCTATTATGTAAATATTGGGTCATACAGTTTTACTCCTACAGGGTTATGAAGTTTTCAGTTTTTACATGTTTCCTCTGCACACCTGAAAGTCACTCAGGGAAAACAGGAACTCTGGCCCCATTACTGCAGAACTGCAAGGAAACTTTACACCTCGAGTACAATTAACCAGATTCCAGAGACTCATTTAAAATGAAGATATTTTGAGTGTCTTTGTAAATTCTTTTATTAGTCTTGTCATAAAATTAATAAGATGGTACATTTCCATGATGTGGAGATGACCCAGATGTAAGTAGTTGGCAGAGTAGCTTGTGAGGTAAAATGGTCCGTAGCTGAAAGGAGCAAGTTGTTGGCCAAGCGAGGTGGTGATTTATTTCTTTTCCATCAGAAATATTTCTCCTCAGGCCAGCAAGTTTCAGTGCTTCTTTATTGTTTTAAAAGTTAAAAATGAAAAATTTAAGGTTCATAGGACATGAAAGCCTGTGAAAGTTCTGGGGCCTGAAACTTTTGATTTATCCATAAATAAACAGCAGTACAGGCAGGAACAGTGCCTGTGTTCCCACGCTTTTCCAGTCATACAGCAGCCCTAGCACTGAAGGCACTGCAACTGAGTAAAAGATCTTTCTAATGTGCTTTAAATAGTTTCAGTTTTCTTTCTGTGTAATAATCCTCTTGCCTTCCATCACTTCCCTTCTCTCATTTATACATTATCCGTCCCATGCTACGTTATGGTGCCCACATCATGCTTCAGTATCTCAAAGCCGAGGCACTCTGTCACTGTACTATAAAGCAATTTGGCAAACTCAGCTCTGTATATCACTTACCCTGGAGGTTTTCATCCTCCCAGAAGAAGGACATACCTTGCCTTGCACATTAAGCCTCAGAAACATTCTGCTGTGAAGTTCTTTTGCTTAATTCTTCTGGCAGTCTGAGGAAACCAATCTTTATTTTCCACATTACAAGCTATACGTGAATCTTCAGTATGTTCATGATCTGGCAGGCATTGTTAATAAAGCATTACTGATGCTGAATCTAATGAAAATGGACATTAGTTATTCTCTATAAAGAACATTCTTAACCAGACAATTAATAGACATCCACAGACTTTTTGCACATTTTTTTCCAGTTAAAGTTGCCTTATCTTTACTTTATAAAAAGAAAAATACACGTGTATGAGGTTTTGCATGCTGTTCTGATGGTGCAGTAAGTTTATTTTAAGTTTTAGTAAGAGTGAAAGGCACACTTACATAAAACTGATTAAAATTGTGAAAAAATCTTTTAAGAACTGGCTTGGATTTTTGTTTACAGTTAATAATCGGAATTTAAAGTGCTGATAGAAATCAAAGTGGAGATTAGAACTTGAGGAAAGAAGATAAAATACTCAGTGTGGGGGAAATAGTATTATAACCTTGTTTTAAACATACATTGGAAGAATACCACAGTTACTAACAAGATTTGTTTTATTATTACAAAGATGTTTTGCAAGCTAACTCGATTTAAAAAAGTGTGATAGCTGTGTCTTGAGAGAAAGGATTATTTAAATATCTCCATTCTTCACTACTTTTCTTTTTACAAAAAGTTTTATAGATACACCTTTTGAGCTGAAACAGGGTTAATGTCAGATTTATTTTTTAACAGAATGAAACTAATACGCAAATACTTCACTGTGTCTTTGATTTTACAGTCAAATAACTATTGTGGCCATCTGCAGCAGCTGCATTTTACGAATTATTTGCTGAACCAAGCTAAGCGCAATGACAAAAGTAGTCATCTCAGATGTACTGTTAAAACAGAGGAAGAAAAGGGATCATTGCTTGCCTTTTGTAGAGTATGGCCATCTGCTGTACAGATGTTATTATATAGAATGACTTCAGATACAATAATTGTAGAAAATTTTCATTAAAACCTCAACAATTTGCACTTGTTTACTTGAATCTGCATAACTCCCCAGTGAGACAACACAATACGTTTGGGGTTTCTTTGGTTCTCACTAGCTTACTCTTTGATCCCTTTTGATGTCCTGACTTTAATAAACATAGTTAAAAACACTGTTCAAAAATATCATGGAAAAAACTACAAAGGAACAATTATAGCAGTAGAAACTACTCTAATCCCTTACTTACGCAAGCTATTTTTAGTTAAATACAGTTTTTTACGCATTTTATGTGGCAGTGTTTTATAAACAGTGTAAATGACCCCTTTTCCAGATGAGTTTTAGTGCAGGAGATGAAGTTGGTTTGTAAGGAATCCTATTTGCTAGGAATTATTTAGCGAAAAAAACCTTGCAAGAATGTATTGTTGGCATTTTTCCTCCCTTATAGGGGGAAAGCAAAAGTACACGACCTTGTGTAATGCCTTAATTTTTAATTTTTTTAGCTGAAATTAAGAAAGAAGCTTGCTATCCAAATTTTTTTTTTTAATTATCAGTTCTCCCTCTGGACTTCCCTGGTTTAATCACGGAAACTAAAGGCATTCTGTTTTCACTTTTGTTCTTGAACTCTTACGAAAGTAAAAAGCTGTAGCTTCTGAAAGAGAAGAGAGAGGCTGATTAGTTTAATGAGTTCACTTCTAAAAAACAAATTGTAAGAGCTGAGCACTCAGCAGTTGGATAAAATGAAAACACCTCTATTTCTATATATCCTGCTGCGCAGTTGTACAACCCCAAATCTTTAGTGTGTTAAAGGACTTCACTTTTGGGACATTTTTTATGTTTTAATACAACAGTTACTTATAACAACATGGTTACTATTTCTGCTAGAATACTTATCTTCTCCTTTGTACTCACGGTGAAATGCTATTTTGGTTTTAATAAAGTAATATTATACTGTGATGCAGTGTATTGGCACCAAAAAAGAAGAAAGGGGAAAAAAAAAACAAAAAGAAAACAAACAAACCAACCAAGCCAAAAAAAAAAACCAAAAAAAAACCCCACAAAACAAGCCTAAATCCATTCTCCAAAAAGAAAGATATTATTAATTTTACTTTAAAAGAGGCTACCAGCGTAGTTCTTCTGAAACCCTTAAGGGCAGGAGTTTAAGTCATCCTGATGTTCATTAAAACAGTTATCTGTAGTAATTTTATATTTTGCGGCTTAGAGTTACAAGTTAAAATTTGTAGCCATTTTATACAAGTAAATAACAAACACTTAGATCATTTTTGGCACTTTGTTTGTACTGTTGAAGAAAACTTCAAGTCCAAGGACTGTCATTAGACCTGGTTCAGTGGTTTTTGTCCTCTCAAGTATGTGGCATCTTCTACAAAGAGTTCAAGTGCCATGTACCCGGTCAGATCTGAGCTTACTTGGTATCATGCTTGAGGTGTGTTGCTCACTCCAGAACTCTCACGTGCAATTAAAATTGAAATAACTTTTAGCAATAAATACTAGAAAATAGAATGCAATTCTAAACATATGTCTTCCAGTTAATTTAGGTTTGGTGTTGAAATTAGCACTACCTACCTGCCAAAAGAGCAGATAAATTAGAGGAGTTGAGGACCATATTCTCCCCAGAGTGAAAGACAGCAAAAAGCCTGTAGCCTCTGAGTGAAGCCTTATTTTGCTCTGGCTGGATGCAAGAGGGAAGTCTTGCTGTTCAGTGTCTGAACTGGGAGAGTTACAGACATAAAATATTTCAAGAATCATACACAGAATTCCCCAACCCTTTGTCCCATATGTAGAGATGATTACTCTAGCTTATAAATAGGGGGGAAAAATGTAAACACTAGTTGAGCACATGATAATTGCAAGTATTTGTACTAACCCTGAAAATAATTACATGCTTCAGATACTTTACAGAACTATTAGAAATTAAATGCAGATATTAATTGGTATAGAGCAAAGACCAAACTTCATTTTAGAGTTAACTAGCTCTCTCAAGAAAACTCTGCTAAGGCGTTGTCATAGCCTTTGCATGCTGCAGATATGCAAGTTAGCCCATGGGGAAATAAAACTTTAAATTAGATATGACTACCTAAAATAATATGCGGCAGTAACAACCCATTTACAACACCCAGAAGACGTTTGTTACTTTTAGAAAGAAATATAAACTCTTTCCAATACTCGAACAATAGGAAATTAATTCGCTGTCAGTAAAAGCCAGAGGACAAACTAAATATTTAAATGGCCACTGAGGATTGAGGTGGAAGTGCAGCTTGTAGACAGCTATACAAATCACTAACAAACCTTAATGAATATTGGGTGTGGGCATCAGGGTCCTGTCAGATTTGACACTGTGTCCCAAGTAGCTTAAACCCAACACTCAAGAAAAGGTGGAGACCTCATCAGGTCTCTAACATCTGGGATTTTATTTGTCATTTTGGCATATCCTGCAAGCGCAAAAGAAAGAGTAAAAGGGGATTATCCTGACAATGAAATGAGTTACTGAATCTTGTGATAATGAAAAGCAGAAGAATTCTAATTCCTTTCTATAGTCCCCGAGGTGGAGGTGCGTTTATAGTTCTGCAGGAGTATAATGTAGGAGGGAAGAACAGATGGCCTAAAATCCATGAAACAAGACACCACCTAATCCCAGGACTGAGTACCACTATTAATCCTGGTCAGATTCCCTACTGATACTTTGTAATAGGGTT